TTTAGTGGCAAAGCCCTTATTAACACGAGTTAATATCAAAACTAATATTAAATGATGAAAATGAATATTTAAAATATTTACATAACTCTAATTAGTATAGCTATAAAACATATAAGAGCATTTGCGATTAAAACATTTGTAGTACATGCCAACAAAATTTCAAAATTTCAAAATCACATACTGTTCAAATCGGTCTGATTTGATCTTCTTCAAGGGTATGTTATCCTGACCTAGCTGACTCTACTAACTTCTCTGAACCTACATGTGAAAACACTCACACACTAAGTATTTGACTTACTGAGGCATAAATGAGCATAAAAACATTAAAATATTTGCTTAACATTTCAGGAGAACATTGAATACGAAAAACAATATACATTTCGTAAAAATAACATATACGGTTATGCACTATTTAATTCATATTAACTTGTTGAAATAGCCCAAAGCATATCATTGAGAACTCAAGGTATTTGAGTACTTTGAGGTTGTGCACTGTAATTGCAGTCGAAACTGCCACATAGAATTTTGCACCGAAGTGCTACATAGAATTTTCCCTAAAGATCGCGTAGAATTGTGCCGAAGAACCACATAGAATTGTCTTGAAGGACCGCGTAGAACCCTCAGCTCTTGGCATGCCAATTATACCTCTAATTTTCATAGCGCATACTTTAGGCTTTAACCATATAAATATTCACATAGCATTATTCAAATTATCATTTATTTACATAGAACACATATACTCATAGTAACAAAATCAAACAGTGCTTTTGAAATACAATTTAGATAAAACATTATAAAGATATTTCATAAAATTATTCAAAGTGTTTTCGATCGAAAACCTTTGAGGTTGGCTCATCGCAACTCATCCTCATATGGAATATAAAATAAGTAAGATGCAATCACATTTGCCTCACTTAAGCCCTAAGCAAGAATCATTTTGACTTTCTCTCAATCTCTTTGTTACATCTATTAGTTCGGTACTTGTTTTCGATAGAAATCTACACATTAACGTGACCAAAATAAATACCATAGCTCAATTAATTTTTAACCAATCAACATTTACATAAACTAAATAAAACACCTAATTCATAAATTTATGTTGAACAGTATCGGTACTCTACACCCAGTACCAATTCTTCCCTTCTATGGTATCGACACCTACCTCAGTATCGATACCCAAATTACATTATAAAATTTCCTCTTCAATTACATTATTGGTGCCCTACTATTGGTATCGATACTCTTGAACCCTAAACCCTACTATTGGTAATGATACCCCCAATATCGATACTACCCCTTTAATATTGATTATGTTCATCCGATTCATATAGCATCGATATTGTTCTTCCAGTACCGACACCATTTCCCTACATTATTGGTGCCCTACTATTGGTATCGATACTCTTGAACCCTAAACCCTACTATTGGTAATGATACCCCAATATCGATACTACCCCTTTAATATTGATTATGTTCATCCGATTCATATAGCATCGATATTGTTTTTCCAGTACCGACACCATTTCCCAAAATTCACTTATTTCATTTCGAATTTTACCCAAAATTAACCTAAATCTCATACTTCTAACTCCATTCTTTCCCTTAAACTCAATAATACTTATCATAACCAAATTGCGTCATTTAAATTCCCTTTAACATCAAAAATTTTCACTAGAACACTTTTTGACAGTAAAACGACACCTGTCAATATCCACCATCATATGCATTTGTCCATATTTCTTAATTTATGAGGTTGATGTAATTGTATACTTCTTCATTATTTTCTCGCAAATCTTGAAGCATTGACTCAAATGTTTCAAGTAATAGTTTGTAACCTGAGCGTCAAATGTAAAACTTGTTGTTAAGCTTCCATAAAAAATGAAAATGATTGAGAAATAAAATTAGGCATTTTGACATATTCATGCGCATAATTGGCGCTCATCATTCTTCTTGAAATTTCAATGATAGTTAGCAACAGTGTTTCGGATACAGTACTGATATTGGCAATAGGATGTTGCCACATTGGACCCAAAGAATCCATTGCTGCTTTGATCCCAGCTCTGCGATCTGAAATGACACAGATTTTTTCCCTCGTTATAACATATAAGCGTAAGTTCCTGAGGAAAAAAGCCCAAGAATTTGTATCTTCTCCTTCAACAAGGGCAAAATCAACTGGAAGAATGTTGCGATTACCATCTTGGACAACTATCAACAGTAAACCTTACTTGTATTTTTCGTACAAGAATGTCCCATCGATTTGGACCACGTGCTTGCAGTATTTCACAACATTAATGCACTATGGATAAGTTCAAAAAAGTCAGTAGAATTAGCATCGATCTCAAAGCACTCAAACATTGTGGAATGCATAGAAAGTTTTGAAGTCGACAATTGTCCCAGGATTCAATCTGCGCACTACCTTAAACCAACTTGGTAGTTAGTTGTAAGATGCATCCTACTCGTAGTGAAGTTTTTTAATGTCATTATGATTAACCTTTCATGTTTTCCTGTATGAGATAGTGTACCCATATTGCGACTGTATAGCTGAAATCAACACCGCAATAGCTATATGGGAGCTTGCTCTGACCATGGGCATGATGGTTTGACAGATAATGTATGAGTCCAAGTTGGGATAATTCTGGTTGATCTCTCTAGCACAGCATGTGTGAGGACTGTTGTATACTATTAGTTCTCATATATTGTTTTTCCTCTTCCTCTTCGATACATGAACCATCCAATTGCATTTGTTATCACGTTGGACACAATGACGACATACTTTTCGGTGGTGGAACGGTCGACTCTGGACTAAACAGAATTACGAATGGTGTAATTCTTAATTGTCATCATTGCTTCTTCTTTGGATGGAAACTTCATTCCTTTATATAACTCACTATCACTGACTGATGAGTTAAATCTGTAGTCACCAATATTAGACATATCCACAAATTCTAGCTAGTATATTGCCCCATATTCAGCTTCATACATGTGTTGGAGGTTCTATGTGTACCGTATTTGTGGGAACTTCATCTACATCATCGTCATCAGAGTCCATGTTGAACTGAAAAGATTTTGGCTGAACGAATAGTTCAGTCTTAGCATCATCCGCACCTGGCTCACAAATAGGTTCTTCTAGTGGAGATGAGGGTTCCTCCATAATGTCGACATTTAGGTCGAACAAACTGGTAGTTGAATGCCTTCCCCTTGAACTTGAAGGCATCTCAACATTGAGGTCAAAGAAACTCGCAGTTAAATGCCTCCCCTTGGAACTTGAAGGCATCGTGTCAAATGGGTACTGCATAAATTATTGTGTCGAAGGCATCTCCATATTTAGGTCAAAGAAATTGGTAGATGAATGCCTTCCCCTTGAACTAGAAGAGATGTTGTCATACGAATTGTTTGTGGAGTCACCTCCTTATAGATCGTAACAAGTTGTTGATGAATGTCTCCCCATTGAACTTTATAGGATGACACCATGATGTGGATTTCCCATTAACGAGTTAAAATCATTACACATTACTTGAGTTGGGCTGTCAACTTGATCAACTTGTTGAGTCAACCCATAGTGGGAGCATAATGACATACCACGAACCGCACACTTCAACAAATGTCGCATACATCTGTGTATCGGAATCTGAATATTGATTCTGAGAATCAACCATCATAGCAACATTGTCATCGTTGGAGAGTTCAAACGCTGTATAAGTTAACGGAAATACTGTGGTTGGAAACCTATACTGAAGTGAAGACAGTCTTCTAGTACTTCCAACATGAACCTTCCTTGAAATTTTTGTGATTAGCTCCTCAAGAGTGATTTTTCTCTTGAATGTTATTCTGACAGAATGATTTGATGCAAAGACGGCGCCGGTTTCATCTTCCCTAATTTCTCCATCACAGTAAACAATAGCTGAAATATGCGTCATTTTGGGAGTTTGAAAGATTAAGAGTCTTATATCTGCAAAAAATAATTGAAATATTCCTAATTAAATAAATAGTATATAAATTAAAATATAAATTAATCCAAAAATTTTTAAAAAATTTCACAATAATTTAAATAACACAATTTCATATTGTTACCGTGTCAGCAAAATGTCTTGAGGTATGATCCCTATTTCCAATTCTACAACCATAAAAAATAATATAAAATAATTAGGAGAATAAAATTTATTCAAATAATTAAATATAAAATAAATATAATATAATATAATAAAAAAATAATTTTACCTTATAAAAACAATAAAAAATCTACTTAGTTTGATAGAATGAATTGATAGAAGTGAGAATAAACAAGTAATTTTGGTGTGGTGATGTTTGCCTTTAGAGGGTTGTTATTTATAGGGGGAAGGGGAGCATTTAAAAGCTAAGTTTTCAGGCTTGGGTAATAATGGAGTACCAATAATTCAACATGCATAATGGAAGGCACGGATCAAGGGAGAGCGTTTAAAAGCCAAGTTTTCAGGCTCATGTAATAATGGAGTACCAATAATTCAACGTGCATAATAAAAGGCGCGGATGGCGATCCACGCCTTCCCCTTACGTGGTGCTAGCTTAGACAGAACCCGGCGAAAGCTTGGATGGCGATCCACACTTCATTACCACCTTGTCAGAAAGGGTGCTAGATCGGTAATATTGGGAGAGAGGAGGCCTGACAGGTAATTATTGGGTCTAAGGGTGATATTTCAGTAAAAACACCCATAATCACTACTCATTTTCGAAGGTTATATTGTACATAGGTGTTGTAGACATTTACATTTAAAAAGAAATGAAAAGTTAGGCATCGTAGGTTTTATATATGATTTTTCTTTCATGCTTAACAAAAATTGAACGAGAGATTGAATTGATTGGTCTTCAGTTCGCTTCTATTGCTATATGATCCTGCATTAGTTAATTTGATGTCTAACAAATAAATATATAAAAATATGACTTCCAAAAGTTCTTCAACTATATATATAAACTTTGAAATTATGATCATATCCATGTTGGATACATGTTATTCATTTCCCTAGGTCCAAAATTCAAGCAAAGTGTTAGTACAAGTATGTTACACATTCCCGAGCTTAAGAAGATGCGACTATGTCTATATACAAATATCAGAGAAATTGTCATCATCATCATCATAATCAAAGAACAAATTTATTACCAACGGTTCCTACGTCTTCAAGGTATTGAGCAGATAAAAGAGGGCCCCCGGTATCACAGGAAGCCCACCAGATGAGCGGAAGTGTCATGTCTATCCACTGTCAGTGTCCACAACAATCCGTACAACATAGGTCATCCTTACCGACAGCCATGAGGAAGAACTACAAGTCCAGCGTGCAATATCAGGTATGAGCTAACAATCAATCTGGTGATGCTGGGATTTTTCTCCGAGTCAAGTGGTTGGTTCTGTCATGCAATTGAATTTTGCTCAACGCCAGTATGTATTGTGGGAGGCAAAGAACCTGAAATCTGGATGATTAACTTGCAAAAGCTGAAGCCATTTATCAGCAGCTTGCAAAAGAGAATTAGCTTTCTGGGATTCGTCAACTCCATCAGGATTCCAAACAGAAGCTTTGAATTTATAGAAAGTAAGTCCAAAGGTAGGCAATGGTAGCTTTAAGGACATGTCAGCATCTTGTAACTCCCTAATGTTATAGCCTCGGAAGGGTAGCCTATCTGTCCCAGTAGCTGCAATTACTAAACGAAGTGTCAGGCAGAAATATGACAGAAATTGCAACCATATTTTCAACAAAGATGCTTACACGGAGAGGGTGTAGAAAGAGAGTGATAGGTTAAAAAGCAGGCCTCGAGATTTTGCAGAGTCGGACCCACTGGTATTCTATATATAGGATACCTTCAATAACAAAAAGGAAAACTTGTTAGATAAATCAGATAACATATATCAGGTACACATACACTCGTAGTAGAGTTTTCTCAACTCCAGCAGGACTAGAAAACTGCCCAAGTATCTGTAAGTTATATTTTAAAAATAGAAAATGAATAAGATACTTGGCAGTTTTTACCCCTGCATGTGGAGTTAAAAACTCCACTATCACCATAGCAAATCATTATCATAGATGTAATACGTATGCTTGCATATTTGTCCATAGGTCAAATCGGATATGTTTAAAATCACATTTCAATAAACAAGAACCATTGATGAAGTCATTTAGAAAGAGGAAAACATACCATGCAACTGAAATCCAACTTGAAGGTGATAGATCACAGCTCCTATATGTCCTCAGGGCCGGAAACTGAGATGCCAGAACCGAGATCTGCAAGACGCAAAGTTATTAGAGAGAGCACGAGGAGCTGCAAATACTAATGAAACAAAGGACATAGGAGTTACCTTGTCAGCCAACGGCTCACGACTAAATGGTTGATCCTGCTCCAAATATTCAAAAATAAGTTGACCCCGAGTGTTACAAGTATCACTTTCATCGCTTGATGAACCCCCAAAGGGTCTATTTCTAAGTGACAGTGTAGTCGATCTCTGAATATTTGAATCAGCAATCTCCAGCTGATTTCGAAACCCCGGGAGAATGTTGTTAGCTCTTTTTTCTGTTCCACATTCAATATCACTACCATCACTACTTGTCTCCCTGAATGAATCCGTATCACTCTCCTCACAGGGCATCCTGTTCAAAGATGGATTAGAAAATGAAACAACACAACCAGCGTGCTATGAGTCTAGCATTTTGAAAATTATGATTGATGATTCACAGCTCAAGATAACTCATCCCCTAACGCTTCAACCTCTATTATAATGCATATAAACAAAATATTCAACCATTGACACTCAATCGACATAACATCCAAAAATAATAGAAAACCATTTCTGATAAGCATTAAAGCGACCCCAACCACCCGATTGAGTTACTTAAATCAGAAATAGGAAACCTGCAACGGTTGTTAACCACATAAGGCTCCAAAGGGTAACGGAAATACTCGGCCATGAAAGTCACCAGAAAGATAGGAAATCAACACAAATCTCAATAACAGCAGGTGATTTGATAAAATGAGTTGAGAATGGTTTTACCTCTGCCTTGGGGTGGGTCTTGATGGTTCGATATAGAGCTGAATGCCAGACAAAAAAGGAACATAGTATTGCACTACAGAGTCAGTCCCATTCAACAAAAGCGGAACACCGGCTCCATATGCACTCCATTCCTTAAAGGACTCCCACAAATCATTAAGCACAAAATATGGAGGACACTCCAGTCTGCGCTGTCGCACTTTGCATCCTCTTATGCTTGTCTATAAGATGGCCAAAATTTCATCACTGATAGTGTTCACCCACACACCCACATGTATATATATAACTCTCAAACACTTCAGATAAAAGACAATCCCACATTTTTGCACCGATTCTGATTGTCTGATCTTTGGTTGATTAGCAAAAATTCTTCAATTTTCCTACATTTTCTGACTAATAAAATAAAACCCAATGCTTCAACTTCCTATTGGATTGTGATTCTTACAAAGAAAGTATATATGGTCCAGTAAATTCGCTAATTTAAACTACTTGATAACGTCCACTCATCCTTCAGAAAACAGATTTCTACATATTTCATCATATAGACAGAACTGGAACTTTGTATTTAATTAATTCAATAGATTCAAAATAAAGAAGAAACCAGAATTTCAAATAAATAAACAGACAGAAACAAACCATCAAACAAACAAAGTTCAAATCCCGTAATTTAGCAAAATTGGCTGTTCTTTTTTTTTAATTTACCTCGGGTAAATACTGAGCCGAAACCACAGGAGTCGTAAACTCCAAGAACCGATCCAAATTCGTCGAATTATCATCAATTTTTTTACTACTATTACTCGAGGAAGAAGTGGCGCATTCGTTGTGATCCGTTCTCTTCTCTGTCGAAACCTTGTAAATCAACGGCAACCTCTGTTCCTTCCGCTGCATCATCATCATCTGTTGCTGCTGTTGTTGTTTCCTCATCGGCGGCGGATTGTAAAACCGGTTCTCGCGGCTGTGGCTTCGCACAATTGAAACGCCACCGGAACCAGACATTGTACGGTTTAATCTAGGTTGGAGAGGTGAGTGTAAATCTAGGGTTTTAGTGAATTAGGGGATAAAGAGAGAGCGATGATTTTAAATTGTGTTGATGTTTAATGTTTGAATATCAAACTTTATAATTAAAGAATAATATTTAGGATTTTTTAGAGAAAATATTTGTTATTTATTTATAAAGGGGAGATGCGGCGACTAGTAATGGAAACAGGAATGTATTTTAAAACTAAAAAGAAAAAGTAAAAAAGAAAATTACTAGAAGAGTCTAGAAAGTATTTTTCTTTTCTTTTCTTACCTTATAATTCTCAAACTAATATTTTTTTAGAATAAAGTAATTTTGAATGCCAAAGCATGAAACATAACAATATCGGTAGAATTACAAAAAGCAATAAGTCCCATGCCAAACATTATGCAAAAAAAACATGTAGATACTAAACAGAAGTAAATTTTGCAACAGGGGAGGAAAATGCAAAAGGAGGTGGAGACTTCAGCCAACACATGATGATAAACTCTCGTGAGCAAAAGTGTATGCAACTCTATTGCTAGAACATCATACATGAGCATCGGTAAAAGGAGCGGACAAGAACACAAATAGTATATAAAGAAAAGGGCAACGATAGGAAAAGTCTGAAATCGTCGATATAGCTCGGCAAATCACACACCTAGAGTTGCCTTCAATTTCAATAGATACATAACCTCAGTATGAGCTAATAACAACCCCTTAAGTAGGCCTGAGCCTCCATGAGAAATTGGTCAAGAGCATGGGGTTGAAACTTAGAAATGGCTATGAGGAAGGTACCATGGTGGACTCGGATAACAGCACCAATCCCCCTAGTTTCGGATGAGCGATCAAAAGCACCATCGAAATTCACCTTAAAAGTATCTGAAGCAGGCGGTTTCCAACCAGTGGGAGCAACTACAATATCCGGCCTTGAACTAGTAGCCCTAAGATCGGAAAGATAGGCTATGGCAAAGTGGAAAATCTCAACATCAGATGTAACGAATCCAGCATGAAGCTGCTTATTCCGAGCCACCTATAACGCCCAAAGCAGGACAAACAACCGAGGAAAATCCATAGTTGTGAGAGAGCATAATAAATAGATCAATCAATGAGTATAATCAGTCACCACCACCAACGTGAAAGAGCTCCAGCTGAAGAGGTTCCTCACTAAATGTACTGTAGAGTAATCCCGAAAAGTGTGTAAGATATATTCGGGGGCAAAGCGATAACAAAAGTAAACTGGCGCGTCCATAACATGCATTTGATACAGTATGTCATAAGAAGGAAACAGGTTCCTGAATGCACGCTAGAGGCAAATTTGAATCTTCAACAGCACCGACTGAGAATAGATGAGACCATAAGCATGTTGCATCGTGTATGCTATGTGGGCGTGATGAGAATACATCTGAAGCAATATATTATACACACTTCGGACTGTGAAATAATCGTGGTGTTCTAGACGCATTTGGTATATCAAAATATTAAAGTATGTTCAACAATTTCATTGTTCGAAGTATGTATAAGATGTTGCTTCATGTGGATTCTCATCACACCCATATACTAACCATGATGTAGTATGTCTATGGTCTCATTTGGTCTCAGCCGGTGCGATTAAAGATTCAAATTTTCCTCTAGCGTGCTTTCAGGAACATGTTTCCTTGCAATGACACTTTGTATCAAAATTATATCATGGGCACACATGTTTGCTTCTATTGTGGATCTGCTCATGAATCTATCTTGCATACTCTTCGGGATTATCCTACAGTATATTCAATGTGGAACCTCTTTAGCTGGAGCTCGTTCATGTTAGTGGTGGTGCTTGATTTTGCACATTAACTTGTCTCTTTATTGTCCTCTCTCGCAACTACACATTTGTTTATCTTGTTTTGGGCGTTATGAGGGGCTCGAAATAAACAACTCTATGTTTGAGTCAATAAGTCTAATGTTGATATTTTTCACTTTGTCATGGCTTATCTCTTCGATCTTGGTGTTACTAGTTCAATGTCGGATATTGTAGTTGCTCCTAGTATCACTGTTTGGAAATTGCCTGCTTCAAGTACTTTCAAGGTGAATTTGGATGTTGCTTTTGACTGCTCATCATAAACTTGGGGGATTGGTGTTGTTTTCCAAGATCATAATGGTGCCTTCCTCATAGCCATTTCTAAGTTTCAACCCCATGCTCTTGACCCATTTCTCATGGAGGCTTCGGCCTGCTTGGAGGGGTTGTTATTGGCTCCTACTAGAGGTTATGTATCAATTGAAATTGAAGGTGACTCTAGGTATGTGATTTCCTGAGCTATATCGACGATTCCAGTGTTAAGATATCAATTCTATTGCTAAGTATAGAATAAGCAAGAGAGAAAGTAATAGAATGCTTTTCATCTTATTATGATAAAATGTGTACAGGGGTGATAGCATACTGGCTATTTATAACAACAGTTGACATCAACTAACCCATAACAAACTCTAACAAACTCATAACCAACTATTCATGACATAAAGCTGAAAATCATATCCATTCTATACACTAACATTCTCCATGCAATTCACGTTTGTAAGACACTAACATTCCCCATGTAATTCACGTTTGTGCTTCAGCTTCATCATCCTCATCTCGTTCTTCAGCTGTAGCATTCTGGGAGTAACTAGTCAGCAAAGCTAACACTACCTCATGAATGCAAGAAACCAATAATTTCTACCGATGACGAAGAAACATTGGAGAAGACAAGGGCTTAGTAAGAACATCAGCAACTTGCTCGTACGCTGGAACCTCATGAACCTACAACCATCTAGCCACAACCATTTCATGAACAAAAAAAAAGTCAAATTCAACATGTTTGAATTTCGAATGAAGAACTGGATTGGAGCACACAGCAACAGTACTAGTATTGTCACACCATAAAGTAGGTTTTCCATGAAAAGAAAAATGCAACTCTTTGAGTAAAGACACAATCCATATGACCTCCAAGCAGCCGAAGCAACACTTCGGTATTTAGCTTCAACAGTAGAACGAGCAACCACCTGATGTTTACGTGAACTCCAAGAAACAAGATTGCCACCAAAATAAATATAATACCCCAACATGGATCGTCTGTTATCAATATCAGCACCCGAATTCGCATTAGCAAAGCCAACTAATGACAGACGAGAAGAAGGCGAGAACAATAAACCGTAATCCGAGGTGCCCTGCAAATACCTCATAATCAACTTAACCGCCTGTAAATGCATATCGCTAGGAGCTTACATAAATTGACAGACGTGATTAATCGCATAAGCAATGTCCGACCGAATAATAACCATATATCGAAGGGCATCAAGAATACTCCTATATTGAGCCACCTCATCAATGGGCAATCTACCAGTAACAGATAACTTACAGTGTGTTATCATGGGAGTAGTGAGATCCTTAGAAGCTACAAAACCATTATTTTATAAAAGATCAAGAATGTATTTTTGTTGACTCAGCACCAAACCACTAGAGTTATAACAGACTTCAATGCCCAAGAAAAAACGAAGAAGGCCAATATCCTTTAAAGTAACATGTGCATGGAGCTTATTTATAACATCTTGAACTTCATTAGAACAACTCCATGTGAGAACGATATCATCCACATAAACCAAGAGGTAAACCATACTAGTATCAGTTTTGCGAACAAAAAGATAGGCATTCGAACGAGACAAAACAAAACCCACATAAATCAAATACCCATTGAGACTCTCAAATCATACGTAGGGTGCCTTCTTCAGACCGTAAATCGCTTTATTCAATTTCCACACCAAGCTATCATCGCCTTGTTCATATCTCGGAGGCTGAAGCATATAAACTTCCTTAGATAAACGCCCGTTTAAGAAGGCATTATTAATATCCACCTGTCTGAGAAAGCAACCTTTCACTAATGCAAGAGAAATTATAACTCGAACAGTTATCGGGTTTACCACGGGGCTAAACACTTCATGAAAATCAACCCCAGACTGCTGAAGGAATCCCTTAGCCACGATATGAGCCCTGTAACGAGCAATGGAAGCATCTGCATTCCGTTTGATTTTAAAAATCCATTTACAACGCACGACTTGCCTATCCTGAGGGAGAGGAACCAATGTGCATGTTTCATTGCAAACCAAGGCATCAAACTATGCCTGTGTTGTGGCCTTCCAATGAAGGTGAAGAAGAGCCTCCTTAATAGTTGTAGGCTCCTTATCATCAAACGAAACATGCAAGACCCTTGGTTTTCGTATCCCATTTTAACCCCGTGTAACCATGGGATTATTGTTTTGACCAGTAGTAGTCTGACTAGCAGTGGATCGATCAACATGTACATTACCACAAACAGATGACACACTATCAGCAAAGGAACCTGCTGTAAGATCAGGAGCATGTACCTGGTCAGTATCTCTAAAGCCTAAAAATGTCTTTGTAATAGAAAGAACAACATGTGATGCAAGACACATAGGTGCAATAACAGAATTGGTAGCTACGGGTAACGACAAATTTATACACCCGTCACCTAAAATTCTCGTGCTAGAAAACTATTCACCATGAGTTGAACCACTAAAATCATCAGCTACTGGAGATACAGTAGCATGTGGAGTGGTGTCCTCATAAACAACACTCTCCCTAGACACCAATGGAGTAAGAACAGGAAATAGCCCTATAGTCACCTCCGTATGGTAAGAATCAACACTAGTCATTTTGCAAACTTGAAAGGGAAAACATGTTCGTCAAAAACCACATGTCGAGAGATGATCACCTTCCCATCATCATCTAAACACTGATAGCCCTTATGAGAATGATTGTACCCAAAAAAGACACACTATCTCAATCTAAACTCTAGTTTGTGACGATTAGAAAATCTCATCCATGGAAAATAGGCACAACCAAACACACGCAATAAAGAATAGTCGGGAATCCTGTGATACAATACTTCAAACGGATATTTGTCATTCAAAACCTGCGTGGGCAACCTATTGATAAGGTAAACAACTGACACGAAAGCATAACTCCAAAA